ATTAATATTTCATGGTAAGAAACTAGTCTTTTGTCCTAACAAATCAGTATTTTGTGGGAACAAATCAGTATTTAGTGGGAACAAATCAATATTTTGTTGGAACAAATTAGTATTTTGTGCGCACGATGCATCTCTTTTTTCACCCATGTAAGTTGTGGGGCTCCATAGTATACAGAGGCATAGTTTTTAAAACACATTATTTGCATTGCCAAGCTTATTTTAGAATGATTTTAGAATGAATTATTTATAAAACAAAACGCGGTTAGCCTTGCGTGCTGACTTTTATTCTGAAGAGAAAAAGCGGATGCTGTTCAATTAACATTCTCTGACTTACTGTAGTAAACACTTCGTCAAAAACAGCACAGTTTGACTTAAATTAGAGCGAATACTTTAGAAAATGTGTCTCTTGTTGAAGCTACCTGCATGCTTTATTGTCTACTGAGTCAATTATTAAAACTTTTACTTTTAAAAGCCTACGTAGCAAAACAAATTAGGGCCCTATGGTGCATTCCTATGTAAACCACTGCAGCCAGTAGTAAATGGTTAAGAGATGGAGCCTTTTCACTAATAGGCAGACTGAGTTCTTTTAATTTTAATAAAAGCTCTGCCGAGGTGCGTTCAAAGACGTGCGGTCAATTGCATTCCCGCGGCGGCTCGTGTGATCTGTGTGCCTCCTTGAACTCACCTGTCGGGAGATTGCCCGCACCACAATATACATGGAGGTCAGCAGCGTCAGCATGGTTCCGCTGCTTTTCTTTAGCCTTTAGATAACTGGCTTCCCCTCAAACAACGAGGAGACTTTGAGGAGAGAAAGAAGGGCGCGAGGCCGGATAGGATACCTCCAAAAGTCACGAGGTGACCGCGCGCGCTGCAGTCCGTCTTCTCCAACACCTCCACCCCTACCTGCAGCGAACACATCCACAGACCCAGACCGCAGCCAGCCTAGGCGCTTAATAAGATTTTGAGTCCACAAATAGCCCCTGACTAGAACACCATGGAGCTTTTAATGTCTGGAAAAGGTGCAAATAATAATAAATAAAAAGTTTGGGCGATTATACAGTAACATGCAACATGAAGGAGGTCTGTGTGGGAGCCAGTGACGTCAATGCAGTGGAAATGGGATCTCAAGGCTGCAGCAACCCAACATATATGTGATAGGGTTACGTAAGGATAATGAGCAGCAGCTTCTGTGCAGAATGTGATCAGTGATGGAAATGTGTAGAAAATGGCCAGGGGCGTGTCCAAGGTGTCTGTTGTGGGACTGGGGACCACTGAGTATCTTTGGGTGGCACTTTTACTTCATGGCTTGTAAGATTAATAGGATTAAAGGGGTTCTTATTCCACATGTGGTTATATCTTATTCAAATAATTTCTTCTTAAAGATATTTTGAAACAATTTATTTTTTCCCAAAAATCGATAATTCCATTTTAGGACGGAGTATTAGGGCCAGGCTAGAGATTTTTCTTTTTGTCTTCTATTTCGAGAATAAAGTCGTAATATTATGAGAATAATATCATAACTTTACGAGAATAAAGTCGTAATGTTACGAAATTAAAGTCTTAATATTACGAGAATAAAGTCGTAATATTATTAGAATGAAGTCATTATATTACTAGATTAAAGTCATAATATTAAGAGATTAAAGTCGTAATATTATGAGAACAATATCTTAACTTTACGAGAATAAAGTCGTAATGTTACGAGATTAAAGTCTTAATATTACAAGAATAAAGTCGTAATATTATTAGAATGAAGTTATTATATTACCAGATTAAAGTTATAATATTATGAGATTAAAGTCGTAATATTATGAGAATAATATCTTAACTTTACGAGAATAAAGTCGTAATGTTACGAGATTAAAGGCTTAATATTACAAGAATAAAGTCGTAATATTATTAGAATGAAGTCATTATATTACCAGATTAAATTCATAATATTACCAGATTAAAGTCGTAATATTATGAGAATAATATCATTATATTACCAGATTAAATT